AAGGGAAAGGAAAAATGATGAGAAATAGAAAAGATGGAAATAAAGTCTTTGTAAATAGGGAAGGGTGGAGGGGGTGAAGGGAGGGCTAGGAATGGGGAAAAAATAAGAACCAAGATGCATCATGTAAAGGTACAAGTTCCCAATGAGAAATGTAATTATGTTGTACACCTAAAATGTACTAATAAAAGAATTTAAGAAAAAAAAAGTTCAAAAGTAAAAACAGAACTAGATATTAGAAACCGAGCATCAACCATGTTCCTGACTTGGCACCAGCTGAATATGGACTGACTCCTCAGGAACCATAAGTCCAACACGCCTCCCCTCTTTTTAAAAGAAAGACAAAGAAACCAAGCATTTACCTTAGACCACTCACAGTGTTAAAATAAACACTCTACATGTGTTATTCTCATTTAGTCTTCCTACTGCATAACTGTGGTGATATTAATCTTATTTTACAGGTCAGAAAATTATGGCCTAGAAAAAAAAGAAAGAAAAAAACCTAACTAACTTTCTCTAGGTCAAAACTTGCAAAGTTAAATACAAGAAACATTTACTGTTTGGGAGGTCTTAAGAAACTCTCAGAATAAGAAAAAAAATGGAAGGGACAGATACATAATTTCTTTCAAGAAGCTTGTAAGCAGAGGAAAAAAGATTAGAGCAAGAAGAAAAATAAGACCCTTTGGTGACACTGGGTCTGTTTGAGTTTTGGGAGACCCAGGCATGGGAACATAGCATTTACCTGCTGAAGGTCAGGTACCTGCTAGGTGCTGGAGGTGTGCAGGCAAAGGTGGGTAATAACTGCCAGGTCAGCCTAGGGGAATTAGAAGCACAGGGCTGGGAAACTGGCCTAGGTTGAGACATGGGACATTTCCTTCCTCACCTTCAAACTATCACTAAAAAAATTTCAAAGGTCTCCTGCCAGAGCTGGGAAATAAATTGTTGTAAAAAATGAAAAAATAGTTTTAGAAGCAAAGTTAGATAATTGCGACTCCTGGTTTATATATTCTAAGTTTATATATTTATGAATATTTAAGATATTCTAGGGCCAGGGATTTAGCTCAGTGGCACTACGCCTGCCTTGCAAGCGCAAGATCGTTGAGTTTGATGCCTGGTACTGAAAAGGAAAAAAAAAGGAAATATTCTAAGTATGCTGGGTATGAGTTAATAGTTTCTGTGGAAAGCAAAGTTCGGAGAATAGTCTGGAAATTAATGCTATATGTTAATATTCTTTCTATGGCAAATGCTTGTGAGGAATTGACCACCACCTTACAAACTGATTTAAGTGTGACCCAGTTACTATAATACACACACACACACACACACACACACACACACACACACAAAACACATACAGAAAATGAAAAGTATGTTGCATGTTTAAATTTTAAAAACTTTACATTGCCAACAATGGTGGAGTAAATGTGGTCAAAGCAAGGAGTAGTACTTAAAGAGTATTCTAGGTATTTTGAGGGGGATTAATGGCAAAATTACTGGGAGTGTATATATGAGGAGTGGTCAAAAAATATGATGAACATTTAAACATAAACTCCCAGTATGGGAGTCAAGAGTAGCATACTATTAATACTATTAATAGCTATTAATGCCACCTGTCTTGTTTTCTGAAATAAGTCACAGGATCACAGAATACCCAAGAGGAAGCAGGCTGATCTTCCCAAAACAAAAACAAGACCAAAAAACAAAAGCAGTAAAAAGTTGTTGTTTTTATGTTTAAATGTTCATCATATTTTTTGACCACTCCTCATATATACACTCAATTCTTCTAAGACAGGTGGCTGAACATTACTTTTCCCCTACCAAAGAAAAACACAGACAACCTGAAAACAATTAAAAGGATTTAAAAATTATTTACTTGTTTACTTTTATTACAATAAATATCAATAAAAGAAACAACTTTAGACTAAAACCTACTGCATTATTTTTGGGGTTCACAGCAGCAGAAATAAACATAAATCCAGTTGAAAGGTCAAGGTTTCCACAATCCAGTGATGAGAAACAGTCAGGTCTTGATTATCTGGGCTAGCAGCAGGGAACAACAGTAGTACAGATAATGCAAAATTAACATTGAGATGCACTGTCATACTCTACATCAAGTTACCTGAGACTTCACACTGGAGCAAAGTAACTGAAGCAAGTCGCAAAGCTGTTTCTACAAGCGTTGAGAGGCCTCCCTCTGCAAGCCCATGGGCTCCGCTGCTCACACAGCTGCTCTCGGGGCCAGGACTGCGCCCCTGACTGTGCAGACCCAGAGGCCTCTGCCCTGGTGGAAGCAGCCAGCATTCTCGGAAGCTGTCTTTTGGCTCACAGGATCCCGGGGTTAAAAGGACGTGGAAAGTGACACGTTTAAAGGGCTTTCTCAAAGACTGAGATGAACGGCCAGGAAGAAAGGCTGCGGCTCTAGACCGGAAGGAGGCGCCAGAGTGACGGGCCACATGCACACCAATTCCACATCAATAAACAAACTAAGAGGGGCTTTCCATGTGGCTGATAATCTAGAGTAGACTCTGTACATACATGGTATCATACATACATACACAGAGTGTATGCACGTTAGATATATATATATACAGAGAGCACACATAACCAGCTAAAATAAATACATTATTTACTACAGCCACAGCAAATCTTAGACCAGTTACTGATATGTCCAATTATGCCTGAAAGGGAAAAGAAGATCTTATGCGCCTCTTCATCTTGCTAATTATATACTCTATTTGCACCAAGCACATTCCACCTGCTCTAGCGGAGCTGTCTCTAGGTACCTGAGAAGGAATGGAATTGGTCTCTCATTTCAGAATAACCCTGAGGGCCAACTCTACCAGGGCCACGCAAACCCTCAATAACTGACTTAGCCAGATTCCTGCTACATAGTCTTAGTCACAGGGCAATAAAGTCTCAGTCACTTTTACTTAGAAGAAAAATATTAATTTTCTTTTCTGCAAGTAGCCACAGTTTAATCTACTGTGTTAGATGGGAAGGAAAGTAAAGAAGGCAGGCGGCTGGGTAATTAACCGTTACCTTCCCCTTCCCAGAGGAAATGCCATGTTTTTTGCAACTTGAGTCTCAACAATAAATTCTGCTTTCTTGGGCTATTTTTTTTCTTTTTTGGTACCAGGGATCAAACTCGGGTCCTTGTGCTTGCGCAGCACGCGGCTAAACCACTGAGCTAAATACCTGGCCCTCTTGGGCTATTTTGAAATGAGCAAATCATTACACATAGCTGGGTCTTTGTCTCCTAAATCATTGCTCTCATGAGATTAAGCGGTTTAAGTAAAATAATCTTTAAAAAATGTTTATATTATAAGCAGTCTCAAGTAGTAGTTATTAAGCTCAAAGTGTGATACTGAATAACAGATTTATAATGCAGCATTCACAGATCATGCAAAATTAAATCAGACTTTTATAACCTGGTTAGTAAAATCAAGTATTATCCAAGCACATTATGTCAAGGGCTTACTTGCTGGATATTAAAAAGTGTTCATTAAAAATATCACAATCTAGAATTCATGGTGAATTGTGGGTAGTTTGATGAAAACCCAAAATCAGTTCTAATTTTAACTGTCATCCTCAGAAACTGCTCGAGAGAAGACTCCAACCAAAGAGCCAGAAGGCATCACAGCACCTCAGCCACTCCCTGTGCCTTCCATGTTGTCGGTGATTTCAATGTTAGCGTGTGCTGCCAAAGCGGGTAGTGTCTCCAGTTTCAGTGTAGCTTCTAGGTTCTCTAGGCCATCATCCAACCTGCATGCTTTAAAAACAGCACTGCTCTCATTTGAGCCCAGCTTTCTAAGGACGATTCTCTGAAGAGGAAGACAGGGTGACTGCCCTGTGGAAGAGCAGAACAACTGTTCTGTTGTGTCCAAATGGTTTTCCTAGAGAGACGAGCCTTTGTTAAAGACAGTTCATGTGACACTTGCCAGTCCTGGGAACCGGGTCTTCCAGACCAGATGCAATACAACCCCTTGCGTAGGCTACCTGTGAGAGGGATTCCGATGGTAAAACTTCTTCTGCTACCTAAACATGAACTCATTTAACATCTGTCTGTAAAAAGTGCAGATCCTTGCTGAAGAACAAAAACCAGCTAGATTACTATCTCTCGCTTTTTTATTAAAGAGAAAAGCATATTACTAGCATGCAGCTTAAAAAATAAGGTTACATTTATTTTGCACCATATAAACAGTAGAGATGAATCAGCGCATAAATCCAATTCTCTTGGCTCCACGCAAGGAAGAAGCACACATATCACCACTTTCTCTGGAAGAGAGACAACCATGATTTACTCTACACTGTACTCTAAATTGCCTACCATTATGCCAATCACTCGTACCACTGTCAAAGATGAAAACTAAAACACACAAATCATCGATCACATAATTAATAAAGAAAATTAAAAAAAAAAAAAAAAGAAAAGAAAATTCAGAAGTTTATGCAAGCTTCCTAAAATGTCCAGAGCATGACACTTTCAAGTTTCACAGTGATTAATTTAACACCATTTTACTGTTAAGACTGTCACCTTAGGGCCGGGGATTTAGCTCAGTGGTTTCGCTGAATGCTGTGCAACCACAAGGACCCGAGTTCGATCCCCAGTACCAACAACAACAACAAAAAAGACTGTAACCTTAAATGTACATGTCAAAGTGCTTCAAATGCAGCATACTAGTTAAAATTCTTCCTGGAAGGTTGTAGTACTGGCAGCTAACTTAGTAAGGTTATTCACCCACAGGGTGTTCAAGAAAGGGCATGCTACCTTACATAGATACCTCATGGGACAAAGAAAATTCTGACTTCACAAATTTCCTATAGAGTGCTGGACCAAGCCCATTCTAAGGCCAAAATAAGGCCACTCTGAACACAGGTGTCAACACAACCAGATTTCTCTACTTACTTCTGGCTTATTTGGGAACCCAAAGTCAAAAGTCTCAGCCAGGCGTGGCGGCACATCCCCTGTAATCCCAACGCTCAGAGGCTGAGGCAGGAAGATCACTGAGAGGCCAGCCTGGGTTACATAGTGACTAGTTCAAGGCCAGCCTGAACTACATAGTGAGACCCTGGCCAAAAAAAAAGAAAGAAAGAAAAAAAGAAACAGTGCATCAGGGTTACTTTGAGAGATCTAAGGCAATCAAGGAGATATGAATGTGGCAAGATCTCAGAAGTAACAAAGCAAAACTGAGTGGTCTGTCTATTCTAGGCAGTGTCTAGTTGAGAGCAAGCTCAAGTGAATGATGAAGAATTACAAATAGGCTTCTAATTAAAAATATAAGTGGGAAGCATAGTCTTTGATATAAACACCTTCATATTATCTTTTATTCTCTATAAGTTAGTCAAAGTGACCTTTGGAAAGCAAGGTACATTTCAAATGCTTTTGGTTGATTACCAAATAAACCAGTCCTTTGAAAGCTAAACACACATAGAAACTTTCAAATTCATGGGGCCATAAGGTGGTCCCTTCTTTCCTTTAAAAAGATCTTGTGTATATTCTCCAAATGCACAGGCTCCAGGTCAGAACCAATACTCTTGGTATCTATTTAGAACTTGGGTAACTCTAGACGTATACTCCTCTTCCCAACTCTTTGCAAGAATGAATGACATGCTGGTAGTAGTATTGTAACATCCTAGACCACAAGCAGCATTTAACTTTCTTTTTGAAATTAGAATTACAATCGATCCCCAGTACCAAAAAAAAAAAAAAAATAGAATTACAAGTATTTCAATCATAATGTTAAATGCCAAGGAAAAACATTTACTTTTTAAATTTATAAGTCACTCTATTATCCTTATAATTAAAACCCCTTAAACTACATCTCTTAGTATTTGTGGAAGAAGTCACTTTAAGTTGTGGCAATTTCAAACTGTGCATTGCAGAGGATCATGAATGTTATTAAGGATAACAAAAAAGGCAGCAGTAGCAATACTCTGTCCAGGCTTTTTTACATTTTTCTATCCCACATCCCTCCTCAAACCCAGGGGAATTATTTGTTTGACAACCCTAAAGGGGCATTTTCCATAACACAGCCTGAAAAGAAACTTCCTAAACATCTATGTAACTTTGGTCAGCACCAACACAATGCAAGCCTCTGGCCTGGCTAAGGCACTCGACTGCAAGCACAGAACGCATGCGTGTGTGCTCTCAACTGAGGCACTGCTCCCCACAAGACAGCTCGGGGGCCCTGGGGAGGAGGCTGGGGTGAATACACACCCAAAGCATCATGCATAAGCTCGGAAGAGCTTCTGTACTTTGGAAAGTGTACAGTAAATGGCATGACAGAAATGCACAGAGCTGCTGGTGACTGCGTCCGCACTGGATGCTGTACAACAAGTGGGGCGTTCAAGATGCACAGCACGCCAGCAGCCTAATCAGGAACACGGCAGCAGTGCATGGGTCCACAGTGTCCTCAGTTCATCCCTTGGTTTCACTTTCCCTTGGTGACAGGCTCTTTTCTTTCATCTAACAGTGCCAATAAAACTGACTGTGGCAAATTCTTTACCGCCATAGGGAACTATGTCACAAGTGTGGGCACAAAACAACTTTCAAATACATTTGATGCAACAAAAAGAGAACAGAAACACATGTGGAAGTAAAAGAGGCCCAAAAGTACATGACATGGTCCTAATGCGAGAATTAAAGTGTATTTTTCTACTACACAGCACAATGTGAAGAGTCAGTGGTTCATACCTGTCATTTTATAAATACTTATCAGTTTTTATCTCATTCTTGTGTATAAGGTCAATAAAACAGCAAAAAGGTTAGCCGAGAAATCTTAAAAACAAATTTCCCCATTCCAAATTAACACTTGATCTATGCAATTTTACAGATGACAGAACAAGGTATCCACAAAATAGTTCCCTCCCCTTAACTGGTTCATCCTCTGACCTCCATGACAGGAATTTGGTAACAAACACAGAAGACTATCCCCTCTTTTCTGCATCAATTTATCATCTATTTTCAGTGTTCATTTTAGTCTCTGACAAAATCACCAAATATAATCAAGTCTTTACAGATAATTTCTTAAAATGATTATGTAACCATGAGCTCCTTGGTTCATTTCTAATAACCTGGATGACAATGATTAGATCTAGTTTGTTTTTTTAAAGTATCAATGACAGTTATTTTTTACAAAGCAGCAGACTGAAATTCAACAAAAGGAATACACTGTAATATTTAACAGTGGTCACATCCATAGATAAATAATAGTTAAGAATTTAATTACATATCAACACAGTGGTGCCTATTTTATCCAAGTGCAACCTGTCCAAAAGAAAAGGGTTTAAGATACACTCTTCATTCAAGCACAAACTTCATTCACTGGACTATTAAAAGAAAATCAGCAAGTAAATTTCACCACCACCAAACCAAGTGAAGACAAAATCAAAAGGGAAGAGAAGAAAATACCCTCATTCATAAAAAGATGTGATTTATCCAACAACCACAATGAAGTTAAAGGGACTGTACTGTCCGAAACCCTCCAAAATTACCTCAAGCATATTAAGGACTGGGCACTCAGTAAGGCAGATGTTAAGTTTTCATCAACTGGGAAAGTGGACAAGCTGGAAAAGAGGGAACGTCTCTCAGCTTTATCCTGCATAAAAAAATACAGCTCCTCACTGCCCCACAAGGAGAGTGAGAGAAAGCTGGGAAGGACAGATGGACAAACAGTCAGAAAACTAATTTTGGTCATAGAGAAATTCATGAGATTCTTAACTCCAATTTAAATTTCCTCTTATAAGGTGCTTTCTCTGCATTTCTCACAAGCAATTATCACAAGACTAGAACTGTCAAACAAATTCTTACAATCATAGCTCGCAGCCACCAAATCCCAACAACCTGCAGTTGAGGGAGGAAAATGCCTCTCTTAAAGAGTGAGCCATGCTAAAGGATGAGCCACAATTAAAACCCATTCTCCACTAAAAAATTTCTCTTTAAAAGCAAACAACCATTTTTCAAGATCTATTCCATAATAAAAAGAGCCAGAATACCAGAGCAGCTCCCCTAGCAGGTGAGGACAAAGGCATTTCCAAGGGAAAGAGAAACCGAGATTTGGCAACTGTATACTGATCTGTTATCGCTGGCATCTCAAGGTGAAAGCTGATTTGTTTTTATCTTTTCCTATATTAGCTCTGGACTACTGACAATTACCATAGCTCTTACAAAATATCAAATATGAAAACAAATTGTAATTTTTCTGAATGTTATCAGTGTTTCTAAACCAGTTTGGGGACTTTAAAAATGAAAATACACCATGTTTAACTCTATAAGCCGAAACATTGTGGACTCATAAAACTAAAATCACCAGGAACACTTTGCTGGTCACATGTACATTACACTTAACTGAAATGTCATGTGGTTTTATAAAAAAATAAAATTAAATAAGCTGGGAGTTAGAAGGTCCAAAATTCCACAAGTTCCGGCCATGTTTCACTCCTGCTGTCCAAGTACCACATACACTGAGATCCCATGTCTGTCATGCAGATCAGATTAGTTCAATGGTGATGGAGGAAATATTTACAAGCATCTATTTACAGTACTTCTTTCTGAGGATTACAGGCCAATATTCTTCTCTTCCATTCCTAGTCAATCTGAGTTTGGTTTCCTCAATGAGAAGGGGTAAATCTGAAAATGGCTACTCAGCTGCTTAACCTATGGAAAACCAGAACACAACACAGTGACACATATGTACCTTATTTTTTAAAGCATAAAGAATTGACCTCGGAAACAACAATTTATTGGCATGGCAAAACCATCAAATAATGAAGAGGTCTGCTATTCTAGTAATAACTAAAGAGCCAGACAACTAGTTACTAGAACTACTCTGGGAATGCTAGAACTACTAGGACTTGACTATGGGTCTGCCTGACTCCAAAACCTAACCTTTCCAGAGTCCGCCAGGCCAGAAAAATCCACAACCAAATCTGAAAACCTGTAGGATTATCTGACATAATATCTAGTCGGTCAAATAATTACATTTTTAAGTTACACTCAATATTCAGACTGTCAAAATATTTCTAAGCATTCCCAGTGCCAATGAAATAGTCTGGAATCAGATCGGTGAATGTGGGGAAGATGGATGGATAAGGTATCCCTAGTGGGCCAGCAAGAGCTTAGTCATTTGCCAGTTAGGAAATGCCATTTGATACTTATTGCTGTTTGTATTTCAGTAGTTCAACAGAATGTTTTGTGTGGCCTAGCAAGTTGCACCTTCTGATCAGAAGCTGCAGTTTCTGCTGATTAGAGCATGAGAAGTAAAATCTCAATAATATAAAACCTTCCTTTAACCTGAAATTCTAACCTCTCTTACTACATTGCTCAAAGAATTGGACAGGGGAGGGAGGAACTGCTACAAAACCAATTTTAGTTTCTTTATGAATTAAGTTAATAGCAATAAAAATATCCCTACAGCTAAAGAGAAGAATTAGATAATAGGATTATTCAGTCCCACATAATTAAAAACTGTTTACAACTCTAATCTACAAGAAAATAGCTTAAAATCCACTTAAAATAAACACTAACTCCCCATAGTAACTATCCAGCTTGAGCATCATTTGTTGTTATAACATAACCATTAGAAAAATGACACCAAAATCCTTACAGGCATTACAATTAAATAACTTTTTTTGAAACCTATTATCTCCTTTCCACTTTTTTTTTGGCACCGGGGATTGAACTCGGGTCCTTGCGCTTGCGTAGCAGGCAGAGAAAGCTCTGAGCTAAATCCCTGCCCCCATCTCCTTTCCACTTCTTAGAAACAAACGGAAGCAGTTTTGCTCGTGATTACTCACCACTCGTACTCCATAATGGATATGGGCCAGGGTGAAGGCAGCTGTTAGCGTATACAGGAGAATGCTCTCCAGGTAAGAGGCTACTCCTAAATTCACTGCCATGACAACCAAGAAGAGCGGAACCAGCAACCAGTTCAAAGCTGGGCACCTCGTGCTGCTCATTTGACAAACAATCAACTGACACTTGAAGTTGGTTTAAAAAAGAAAGAAAAAAAAAAGTTAATTAGCAAAGCACTTTCAAAAGTCGTCACTCCAGTATTTAGAAAGTATTCAAAAACTTGAGCCAACTCATTACATTACTTAAATTCAGTGGTTCTGAAGTGAACCAGGGCCCCACCTCCCTACCCTCCAAATGTGTGTCTGAAGAGACTAGAAAATAATTTAGTAAGGATGGATAGAAGGCATTCTTCCACTGGGTAACGACAGTTCACATAGAACTTTCTCCCAATTTTAAGATTCTATGACACATGAGAAGAAATTCAAAATAACCTCCTACATCTCCACACAACTGAATGTCTTCACTGCAGTGAAGAGGATGCTACTGCCAGTATAGCAATATGCCCATAACTAATACTTCAAAACTTCTTTGGTTCCCTTTATTTCGATACTTTACTCGCATACTCTTTTGCTTTCAGAGGTACTTCTTATACAATGCACTGGTGTTTTCAGATCTGTATTCATTTCTTTTTGAAGTACTGGGCTTGAATCGAGGGACTCACAGACCCAAGGCAAGCATTCTACCACTGAGCCACACTTCCCAGCCCATTTTTCCATCTTTTAAACATAAAACATCAGTAGGAATTAGAATATTACACACATTACAGAATGAAAACAGGCTTGGTGACTCAGCTACAAGTTGAAAGCTTTGAAGAACCTGACCTAACATTCAGCAGAGGGTTCCTGACTCTCAGAATGACTAGGGTCTTTTCTCAACTCCCAATCTCTCCTTCCTGTGCTCTTCTTGCTGGCAACAGCACAGACATTAATTTTCACAAAATATAAACGATAGCAAGGAGGTGTAGCTCAACCGTAAAGTGCTTGACTAGCATGTGCGGCACCACACACAAAAAACGCACAACAAAAACTGTTGTGTTTGCCAGGCATGGAGAGGCACACGCCTATAATCCCAGCACTCAAGAGAATGGAGCAGGAGGAGCAAGGCCAGCCAGGACTACTTAGCAACACCCTGTCACAAAAGCAAACAAAGTTACACTAGTTACAAAATTTTTATTCCATATTATTAATCCTACAATCAGCTGCAGTGTGTATTTTCTCTCTCAAATATCCCTTTCAAGCTGGACGTGGTGGCACATGCCTGTTAATCCCGCTATTCTGGAGGCTGCAGCAGGAAGATTCCGAGTTTGAGGCTAGTCTGGCCAACTTAGCAATGCCAGGCATGCATGAGGCCCTGGTTCAAGCCCCAGCATCACCACCAAAGCTTCCTAAGGAAGTCATTAGGTCTACAGTCATCTCAACCATACTGGTTTTTATTTTTGGTACCGGGATCGAATTCTGGACCTTGCGCCTTGTGAGGCAGGTGCCAGAACCACTGAGCTAAATCCCCAGCCCCTGAACCATACTATTAACAGTGTTTACTCTGAAGGCAAGCTAAGTTGTTCTATGAGTTCTTCATCAGGCAATCAGGTATATTTAAGTATGCCACGGTTTCTTAACAGCATTCTGGTTTCAAAGAGCAAAGGGAAATAATTCTCACGGAGCTGGGCGTGTAGCTCAGTTGTAGAGTACTTTTCTGCATGCTAGAGGACCTGGGTTCAATTCTCACCACCACCAAAATTAAAGTTAATAAAAATAATTCTCAGCACATTCTGTCTTTGAGGTCGTTAAATATTCTTTCAAATTTGAGATATAAAAATCTTTAAATTAAAATCTCCTTATTCTAGTACTGTAAGAGTTCTTGCCAGGACGTAGCTCAGCGGCACAGTACCTGCCTTGCAAGCACAAGGTCCTGAGTTTGATCCCCGGTACCAAAAAAAAAGTTCTCAAATTATTAAACTGTCATATAGATGATTTTTTAATACAGATGTTTTTTAAAGAAAAAAAAATCTTACTGTGATGTTGGCAAAGGCTGTTCCAACCATAAAGTAGAAAATTCTAGGGTGTATCTCTAAAATATCTGAAGGTGACCAGAGGGTCCAGGCTGTAGACAAAATGAAGAGCAAACATGGAGAAAAGAAGGGGACCATCACTTCATAGACTGAATTGTGTTTCAAGGTGCTATTTTTATAGCTTCTGAAAAAAAGAATCAAGTAATACAAAGAACATTATTACATGTAATACTTGTAGTTTGCATTTTCCAAATTGCTTTTATATTTGTTCTCTTCATCCTCACAATAGTCTTATGGCACAGACAGAACCAATAATATTTTCTGTCTGTTTGTTTGATTTTGAGGCAGTGTCTCATTATGTAGCCCAAGCTGGTCTCAAACTTGTAATGATCCTTGTGTCTCCACTTCCCGAGTGCTGGGATTACAAGAGTGCACCATCAGGCCGCCATCAGGCCCGACAGAAACAACGATATTAACCCTACTTTACAGGCAGAGCGAGTGAGGGTGAGAGACCCTAATTACATAACTTGCTAACGATTCAGAACCAAGGTTTGAACTGAACACTCCTAACCCTTGCCCATTTTTTCCTCCTTAAACCAAACCATCAGCTATTGTGTTAAGAATGTAAAGATGAGCCAGGTGTGGTGGCACACACCTATAATCCTAGCACTCTGGGAGGCTGAGGCAGGAGGACCACAAGTTCAAACTTGGCCTGGGCAACTTAGTGACTTAATGAGACATTGTCTCAAAATAAAAAATAAAAACGGGTTGAAGATATAGCTCAGTACAAAGTTCCTGGCTTCAATAACTCGGAAATATCAAAAAAAACAAAAGTGAAGAGAATACAACTATATTTTTGCTCTATGAAATATCCTACTAGGAGAACTAAAACAAGCATGAAATTGAAATGTCCTCCCTAAGTCCACGTGTTGAAGGCTTAGTCTCCAGCCTGCAGAACAACCTGGGGTTAGTGGACCCTCTAGAGGTGAGGCTTTCTGCAAGGTCTTCAGTGATCAGGAGAGCCCTCAAGAGGAGATTCGATCGCAGCCCCTTCCTCTCTCCTTCTGGCATCTCAGCCAGTGAGCTGCTGCCCGCCACCTCATCCTCCCTGTACCACAACCCCAGAGGCAATGGGGCCAACCACTCATAACCTGAAACCTCCAAGACGCAGAGCCAAAACAAACCTTTTCTTTAAAAAAACAAAACAAGCCACCGTGGTGGCTCACGCCTGTGATCCCAGCATTTGTCTTTTCTAGGTACTTCAGATAGGCAGACTCATGCTCCATTTGTCCTTTGGGCCTGGCTTATTGCACTTAGCATGGTGTTTTCAAGGTTTATTCATATTTCTGTTTGATTTGGTTCTCTTTTATAATTTCCTGCTCTTTAATGATATTCACATTTGGTTCACACACTGTTTTCCTGATTTTCTTTTCTTTTGCTGTTTAAGCATATTTAAGAATGTCATTTTAAAGTCCTCATCAAATAAATCTGATTTCTGCGATTTCTCAGAGGGAAAAACAAAGTATTCCTATACATCTGTTCATCTGAAAAGAGTCCCAATATATTGCTCAATCAAAACCTCACAATTCTAAGATAAGGAGGAAATGACTCAATTTCTGCAGCCTTCAGAGCTTTAAGCTTTATGGTCTCTATGAATGACTTCCAGGTGCAATAAATATGACAGATACACAGAGCTTGGGTTGCCATGGGGTAAGATTCTGAGACAGACCTGAGCTCAAAGATGAAGTGGGAAGTACAAGAAAGTGTCTCAACTAAAAGAAACAATAGAGAAAACAGCCAGCACAAAATTATTAAGCAGGGAAAGAGAAAAATCTACCCAGAACACAATAAGTAAACACAGTACAGGCGAACAAAGTGGGGACACGCATAGGTCAGAGATATGAAACGGTCTCTCTCTACCTCCGAAGCCCTTCTCCCCAAAGACAGAAACTGCTATGCAAAAGCTGTTTGACAAGAGTCAATAAAGTCACTTTGGTCTCAACCTACACACATTCAGAAATGTTATGATCTTGTCAACTACACATACTCAATTTATAGAACAGAATGGAAACATCAATACTTAATAGGCAAACTCTGCCTCCTTGTAGGTACATTTACTTAAAAGAGTGACAAGTTGGAAGACTGCAGAGCCCAAATCTGTAACAAAAGATCCAGCTGCCTTGGGTGTGGCTGAATTGACTACTATTTTAGATTCAAAATATTGGCTTTAAGACTTTTTCAAAATGTCCAGATGCCAAAAGGAAAACAGATCCTTAAATTCAGCTACATAACAATTGCTAAAGACATTCATATTTCTTGCCCAATTGAAAAAATAAAGCACTTACCTGTAAAAGTTTAAGAAACTCATTGGAAGAGTCACACATACTGCACAACCTAAAAGAGAGAATATTTAAATTATCATGAGGTAGCCAAGTGATTACATTATAATAATTGAATCCACACAAAAGACTCAATGTTTTTAGACCCAACAATTCTCAGGTTCACCTTTACTTCTGTAATAAAACCAAACACATTTCTAAACAGCATTTCTAAACAGTGGCGACACAGTGCGACGGTCAATCTGGACCTCAATTTCGTTTGCACCATACACTGGTTATGTGATTTTAGGGAGTCAACCTTTCAGTGGTTCAGTTTCCTCATTTACATAATAGAGAAACTAGCAGTACCAACCCCATCAAATTCTGAGAATTGAATAAATTACTACATATGAAGACACCTGGAATAGCATCTATAAATAAATCCAAACGTAAGTGCAAGCTCCTAGAAGGAGAGATGCAGCCTGGGCTTCCTATTTATACTTACTTTCAACCTCCTGGAGATTTTCAATTTCTCCCCTCCCGATCCTACCTGTAAGGATGGCTTCCCAAGAAACTCTACCATTGATTCTGCTGCCCCTCTACTGTCTTACTCCACCATTTGTTTCAGTTTCTTAGCATTCTTTCATTCATTCTGCCCCATAACCTGCAGAAATCACATTCCTGAAATTTACCAGGCTTCCATAATGATCAAATTCAATATCCCTTTTCATTTCTGACTTCTACATAAGATGATGTAGCTGATTATTTGCTAACTGCAGTTCTTTCCTTCTTCTGCCATTTTAATTCCATTCTCCCAATGCGCTTGCTAGCCACCTAACCATTATTTTGTGTCCTTTATTGACAACCTGACTTCCTAGTGTCCCTTCCATTTTAAAAATTCTCTGAGTCTAGCTGAGTGTGGTGACACACACCTGTAATCCTAGCACTCTCAGAGGCTGAGGCAGGAGGATCAAAAGTCTGAGCCCAGCTTGGGCAACTTAGTGAGACTTTGTCTCAAAATAAAAAATAAAAAAAGGCTGGGGATGTAGTTCATTGCAAAGGCTTAGGTTCAATCCCCAGTATAAGGAAATTTCTGATTCTGTGGTCTATAGCAATTTTAATTCCTGATTTCTCTCTCTTTCAAACTACAAACCAAGATATCTCCCAACTTTCTGCACACTTCGTTTGTATACTTGTCACAGCCTAATGTGTCTATTCTCGACTCCTTCCTGGTGACTATTGGTTAGGTCAATGTAGCTATATAATCTTAAGGATCAAAGGTAAAAAACATTCCTTTAAAACAATTCCTAAAACAGCTGGCTAAGAACAGAAAAAAAGACTAGAATTCAGCAGAAATCTTCTCTCAAAAGATGAATTACTCTGCTCCTTACAAGCCCAACTGAAATAGTCTGTCAAATTAGACTATCTTAGAAAGAAGACAATGATATGCTTAATGTCCTCAGGAATTTTAGCATTCCTGAGTAGCATTTAGCTTACTCCACATCAAACTGAGAACCACTGAAGGGGAGCCAAGGCTAAATTAATTAACTCAGGATTACTTGAGGCTCTGAGGTGTCAGAAACAGGCCGAGGTTTGCTACCAAGATTAATTTTAGTTTAAAAAATTGCAAAGTATTTTGTTTGGTTATTTTGTTTTGCTTTGTTTGTTGAGGTCCTGGAGAATCAAACCCAGGGCCCACACATGCTATGCAAGCACTTTACCACTGAGCTCTAACTCCTTTTTATTTTAGACAGCGTCTTGCTAAATTGTCCAGGCTGGCCCTGAAGTTGTAATCCTCCTGCCTCCAGAGTAGCTGGGCTAAAACAGTTTTAAGTACAATAAGCATGTGGAAAGCCTGGACTCTACATAGCTTGCCAAAGAAAAAGACTGTGTCTTCTATTTCTTCTCTAAGTAGTACTTCAGGTACTTTCTGTAAAGAGTATTTGTTAATTTAAATATCTATTAAACTCCACATTTAAGAATGTAATAGTTGGGCCGGAGATTTAGCTCAGTGGTTCCAGCGCCTGCCTTGCAAGTGAAAGGTCCCGAGTTCGATCCCCGGTACCAAAAAAAAAAAAAAGAATGTAATAGTTATAGAATATATACATAATGTATAGCAATATCTATGCTTGTTTTTCAAACTGCCATTAATTAAAGGTCAGAATTAATTTTTTTAAAAGATCAAAATGAAGATAATGCAGTCATAAAAATATTTTGGTTCCTCACATTTCTTGCTTATTAAACAGAAACTTCAATTAAAACCATCAACACTAAAGTTGGACAGTGTACTATGTGGATGAAACTGGCTGGTAGAAATTCAGTCATACAATCCCCAAGGAGGGGATTACGGGAATGTTTAGAAATATGACATACATTTATCCTTTACCAGCAATTCGACTCTAGGAATCTCTTCCATAATACCCTGGCAAAAATATGAAAAGACATTTGTGCAAGACTATTCATTGTAGCAACGTGTGCAACAGAGGAGCCTGGAAAGAATCCAAATGCTATGAATAGAGGGCTGGTTCAACAAACTGCGGTGCACTGTGGTACACCCACCCACACAATCGAGCAGCCCACACAATCATTAAGTCAGAATGAGGAAGACCCTTATGCACCACGATGAAAGGATCGCTTTGATATACAGGTAGGTGGGGAAAAGGACATCACAGAGTAAAGTATGCACAGAATACCATCGTTATCATGAAAAAGAGACAATATTCATTTACTTACAATAAAGAAACAATGAAAAGATAAGCCATAAAACTACAAAGAAAAATGGTTATCTATGAAAAAAGAGAAAGAGGATGATAGAAGTTATACTTCTTTGAATATGCTGTTTTATAAATTTGACTTTATTCATGAGTATGTTACACAATTATTTAAAATCCTTAAAAAAAACAAACTTCTCATAAGTCAAAAATTCTAACTAGGAAGGGGAACCAAGAGTCAGAAGAAGCAGGGAGGGATGGGAGGGATAGGGATGAATAAAGAATTAAGATGTGTCCTGTCCATGTACCAACTCCACATGATAAATGTAATCATTATGCACTGCAAACATGCACTAATAAAATAAAAATTTGTATGTACATATCCACAACTCACCGCATAACCTCTGAATTAAGTAACCTGACTGGACATCTCTAGTGGGACAAATTGTAAGGTCAAATAAAATCGAGGAAGCCAAAACCTTACACTATTTTCAAGAGCCATATTTTTGCTGATTTTGGTACTGTATTTTGAATGATTTTTTTTGTTTTGGTACCAGGAATCGAACTCGGGTCCTTGCACTTGAGAAGCAGGCAGCAGAACCACTGAGCTAAATCCCTTGCCCCTGGTACTGTATTTTGAAACTGGGTGCTTCACAGAATTAAGCAAATGAGTAATTATTTTGTTATTGAACATCAAGATTTTTGTCATAGTTTAAAAGGAGATACAAATGTAAGATCAATGAGGTTAAGTAAAAATTCTGTAATTTCAAATTTTATTTGGAAATTTATCATAAAACTAACCAACAAATTTGAGTCCCCTAGCTATCCACTGAATAGATTCCTAAGTAATGATCATCAATGACTGTGAATACTACTACTGGCAGGTGAAGAACAGATGCTAACAGTGCAATGATATAGAATATCTGAACCTCCAATCACTATTAACATCACAAAGAGACAGCCAAGGGCTGGGGATTTAGCTCAGTGGTTCCAGCTCCTGCCTCACAAGCTCAAGGTCCCGAGTTCAATCCCCGGTACCAAAAAAAAAAACAGAGAGAGAGACAGCTAATACTGTGTGCCTCCTAATGTGATACAACTGGAAATACCACTACCTAATAAGCATTGTTCTCATACCACACCCCCAGTGAAACCTGTATCTAGCCAGGCCCATAGGTTTAACTATTATTTTACAGGAAAAATGAGAGGGCAGGAAATATGTTAAAATGATATGAGAATTCAACCAGGAAAATGCGGAATGTAAGAATTCCACAGGGCAAATAACCCAGTTTCTTCAACAAATAAATTACAAGGCAAATGGGGCCGGGGATTTAGCTCAGTGGTTCCACCGCCTGCCTTGCAAGCGGAAGGATCCAAGTTCGATCCCCAGTACCAAAAAAAAAAACCAAAAAAAAAAATTTACAAGGCAGAAAAAGAAAACGTATGTTTATCAAAAGAGATTTAAATAACATATCAATCAAATGCAATATATAGATCCACTGTATGTTTTAAAAGAAGAAATCTAGGGCTAGGGATGTAGCTCGGTGGTATTGTGCCTATCATAATAAATCCCTAGCACCACAAAAAAACAACTATCATTTACAGTTATACAAGAGGTGTTTATGAATGAAATGAAATGATGTCTGAATTTGCTTTTAAATAATCTAAAGGGAGGAAATGTCTGTTAATGGTACCACAATGAAGCAGGGCAATTCTCACAAATAATTACTAAAAACTAGACAAAAATATTCAAAATGACTACTTGAAGGTACTAGAAAACAGTCAAAAGCAGGCAGAAACCTTAGAAGGATTCACATTTGGGCCACCAGGGAATAGCTCCTTTGAGGCCTGCCTATCTATACCCTAACCTCACCCATCCCAGATGGTGGAAAACCTCAGCCTTCCTTGCCAGCTGTGGAGACAATATTATTAGAACTGAGAGCAGCAAAGATACTGCAAGTGGGGACAGGGCATCTAAAGAGCAATGCAGTGGGCCTGGGATGTAGCTCAGTGGTGCCGCCACCTGCCTCGCAAGCGCAAGGTCCCAAATTCAATCCTCGGTACCAAAAAAAACCCCAGCAACGCGGAAGGGCTGATTCAATCTGAGTATAAACTCGCTCCAATCCCTGGGGGGCTACTAAACTAAGTAAGCAAATAGGAGTCCTCAGGAACATGACGAAAGGGTAGAAATTAGAGGAGATGCTATCCTTTGAAAGACATAGGCACCCTTAGTGAGACCTGCGGGTCGGCTGAACCCCCCACGCCCACCCCTGCCCGGGTTGGGGATGAAACCCAGGGACTCACTCACGCCAGGAGGTGCTGTGCCCTTCATTTCACTATGTGTGCTTCTGAGCCACTCCATCTTGGGCTGCAGAGGAAGATGCCTTGCTGTGTTGAAGTATCAGAGGACAGAACACAGTTGCTGGGAGAGCAGCTGAAGATTCAGGATGAGAAACCCCAGAGCAAGAACCACAGAGAGGTGAGCACCAAAATCTCAGTATCACCTCTGCCTGAATCTTCAGCTGATGGCTAAACTACAGAGAAACAAGGAACAATCCCCCAAGAAACCAGGCTAAAGAAACAGCAGCTGGCCAGGCACAGCAGGGCATGCTTGTGATCCCAGCTCCTCAGGACGCCAAGGCAGGAGGATCATGAGTTTATGAGGCCAGCCTGGAAAACCTAGCAAGACTGCGTTTCAACATAAAAAATAAAAAGGGCTGGAGATGTAGCCCAGTGGTAGAGCACTTCCCTAGCATGTGGATGGGCCTGGGTTCAATCTCCAGCACTAGGAAGGGGAGGTGGGGCGGCTGAAAGCTGAAAAGAATTACATAGGGACATCAGCTGTTACATACTGTGAGGGACAGATATCTCAGTCTGAATTCAAACAAGTTAAATGCCTACTAGAATAACAAAAACATTTTTTTTCAGAAGAACAAAACAGATTCCAAAGTCTCTACAAATATTTTCTCTATGGCCCTTCTCTTTCACAAGGTATTGGGGATCAAACCCACGGCTTCCTTCACACTAGACAAGCACTCTACCACTGAACTACACCCCAACATACAATAACAATGTCTAGTTTCAACAACAACAAAATTGCTAGATATCCAAAAAGGAGGGAATAGCAATCATTAGAAACTGCTGGATTTGACAGACTATAAAGCAGCTATTCCAACATGTTCAAAGAACTGAAAGAAAATATGGTGATAATGAATAAACAGATAGAGATTCTCAACACAGAAAAACAAAATAGAACTAAGTGGAAATTCTAGAGCTGAAAAGTACAAAAACTTAATTGACAGTTTGAAAAGACAGGCTCAACACCAGACTGGCAATGGCAGAAGAAAGCAAGCAATGAATTTAAAGACACATGAACAGAAATGATCTAATACAAAGAACAGATTAAAAACAAGAGTACCGCCACCTGCCCTGCAAGCGCAAGGACCACAGTTCGATCCCTGGTACCAAAAATAAACAAATAAACAAAAACAAGAGTAAAGAAAAACTTAAAGCCTCAGAAAATTACCTATAAGACACAGCAAGTAAATCTAACATATATATAACATACATATGTCCTAGAAGAGAGAGAAGAGGCATAACAATCTGAAAAAATAAATGTGGCAGAAAATTTCCCATACACAGTCAAAAACATTAACTTACAGATTGAACATACCTAACATGCTCAACAAACAGTAAGGACAAACGTAAAGAAAACCATGCCTGAACAATCCTAGTCACACTTCCAAAAGCCAAAGATTTTAAAAAGAGAAACTTGAAAGTAGAAAAGAAAAATAATACTTTACACATAGGGTAATAAGGATATATAAGCTGATTCAGAAACAATGGATTTTAGAGGACATTAGAGTGACACATTTAAAATCCAGGGGGAAAAAAGACAAAATCAAGATGTTTTCATTACACAGAATGTGAGATACTATGCAAATACTTAAAATGTTTTAGGCAAAAGAAAGGTATAGTATTACTAGGAAATGAGCTGAGAGATTAGCAAATGAATATATATTCTTTTTTAGATCATGACACACAGTGTATTCACCAGTTATTCTCTAATCATTTTTGTTATGAAAAATTCTTTCATAGAACACTTTTATATTTTAATCTGGTTATTAACATTAATTAATATCTACTGGTATTATATTAAAATACAAAATTTTTAAAAACAAAAATGTTTTCACATAAATACAAAGAATGTATTGCTACCATATCTACACTACAAGAAATCCTACAAGAACACCTTCAAAATTCTAAGAAAAAGCACTATACACTAAGTCAGATGTACAGAAAGGAATGAAGTACAGCAGGAACAATAAGTCTGTGGGAAGCATAACAGATTGTATATGAGAAAATAACCCAGGGATTAGAGGGAAGTGGTACATCTGAAACAAGACTGACACGGGTAATGAAGACTGCTGACGCTAAGTGGTAACACATAGGAATCCACTGTATAAAAGTAGAAAAGCTACAAAGAATGCAGATGTTCAATTCCTTTTCACAACAAAAAGAAGGGGGGAGTAGAGACTGAATTCTGCTTTCTACCCTGGTAGCCTGTCTGCTACATCCAAAGGTGGTGACCTTCCATGCAAACAAGCCACTCACCTCCTACCAGGCTTTTCCACCCCCCCCCTCACCCTGAGGCTCTGCCCACCCAGCCACCTCAGCACCACCAATATTATCAGCAGGAGCTAATGGCACAGGCTCAACGGTTCTTCTATCCATTTGTACCTGCTGGACACAACACTGGGAAAGCTGCTTAATTTCTTTGTGCAGAGAGAAACAAATGGGTTATTTTACTTTAGAGAATTCAAATGAATTTGTAAATTACAAATAAAATTATGTGTCTATTAAAGAGTGCAATTCAAAACTATGCTCACATATCAGACATATTTTCACATTTTTTCTTTAATAACTGAGCATAAAATGTAGCAAACCTACCCTAGGACAGGCTGCTAAAATCAAGATTCACTACATGGTAGTAGAAAAAAGTAACCTTTTCGAGGTAAAGAAATAACAGCTTATACAGGTACCAAAAAATGAACTTTTGGTACATTACAGGGTAGTTTCCAAAATGTATATTCCTGAGTCATAGAAAAAGGCCCAAACCACTCCTCGGAAAGCCAGAACATAGACTTTGAGAATTCCAAAATCAAGCACTGTCCATGCCTAGTACAGACAGTTTTTAGCAGTTTCTAAGCCTTACCTCATTCCATTCCCTTGCCACACTTCACCAACAGAAGGAGACGGGGATAGGTAAGTAACACAGCAGCAGCCTATAGGTGTGCTTTTTACTTCTACAAAGTCCTTAGTGCCATTCCTAGTGCACTCAACACAGCGACCAGATTCTTCTCCCTCTTTACCCTTCCACACTGCTGACCCTGTCCTACACTCAATTACCCTACAGATATCCACTTCAGCTAAAAAAATAAGGAAACAGTACCCTATAAAGACCTTAAGCACTCAGTGGAAGGAGGGTGGGTATCTGAGAGGAAAAGATTCTTAACTTTCATTTTTGAAGTGCATAGATTAATCTCTACATTTCAACTGCTCTATTTCACACAAACTACTACTTTTCAACATTGAAGTAAATATGAAATCTACATCAAATGTCCACCTAAATGTGGATATTCCAGTACAGTCTAGGTTAAATTGAACGATTACTTTCCAAGGCCCGCGTGAGCTATTCTGGCATTTCCCCCTGATCGGAGAAGGCTTGGTGCTAAACAAAAAATCAAAACAAAGAAACTTTATTTTCTTTAATGTTTAGGTTGAAGTCTTATATAGTTGTAGGATTATTCTGCTTGCTGCAAGGCAGGGACAGGAGTGCTGTCATTTGTTATAGTCAAACACTGGCTTTTGATAACAAAGTGATGGTTAAAACAGGCTTTGACATGGAGCTTCTTACCAATAATCATTGCAGTGAATAGGTCTCTATATAAGAAATTAAACAGGAAAGGTTCATACCAGGCCTCAACTCCCACAACTGCAGTCACTATGTAGACAAAAGAAATAGTCTGGAAGGAAAACAAAGACAAAAGCACACAGAGGCATTAACGGCTGAAGAGACCAGGAGCTGACAGAGCTTCACCCAACATTAAGTCTAGTCAAACAGTTTTAGTAAATGCAAGAAATACTCTTAAAATTTGGTATATGGCAAGTCTTGCCTTTTTTTCTTTGTCAACAATGCCATAAAGTAACTAACTTCTGTCAGCTTCTACTGGCTATCATCTGAAGCATTTCAAAGGTGTCCCATACCCTGGTTAGGTCCTAAGATGATCCCATTTGCCCACCCAACCACCTCCTTCTACAAACACACTCCAGCTTCTGAGGGCTTAGGTTCAAATGGGCAAAATGCAACATCAAGCCTGGGATCCAATGGCAGGACTAAAGGAAGAGAAAGCTTTGTACTCACTGAAATTTGGCAATGAAGACAAAAGCCAGTAAATGAGTTACATGTGAATATCTTATCTTTTTTTACAAAAATCCACAGTTTAAATGAATGTTTAATAACATTAAGAAACCATTATATTTTGATGTAATAATGGCATTGTGATTATGTCTTTATCACTGAGAGATATAGAGCAAAATATTTATCACATTTCCTTTGAAAGAATTGGAAAGGGGTGAAGGAGGGTAGACATGAAACTAGACTGGCCACATGCTGCTAAATGCCTAAGATAAGTAATGGATATACTAGGCTTTGTTATAATATTTCCTCTATTTTTATATGTTTGAAACTTTCCAGGAACAAGTAAACAATTTTTTAAAATTTACTTGTTCTTTGAAAAACACACATCAGTTGTAACCAAAACGGCATAAGGGCAGTAAACAAGGAATGACAAGAACTTTCCAAAAACATCATGGCAGTGTTGAAAATTTAACACAGAACATGTACTTACCACCTGGCTAAGGTCATAGCCCCATGGCAGGAAAAGAATCCCTGTGTTATATTTTTCCCAGTGGGACAGGATGAAAGAAAACAAAACTACCCATAGCAGGAGATAAAGAACAAAAACACTGACACCAGTTGATCCTCGTCCAAAGATGGAATACACAGTGACAACAAAGTAAACACATGACCAACTATCCAGGCCATGGTCAAAAAGCTCCCCTAATGGAGTGCTGGAATTGGTCCTCCTAGCTTGCTTTCCATCTACGCCATCTGCAACAAAAACACATCACGAGAAAGAGTCAACACCTATATTGGTATGGTGGAAAAAACAAATCAGTACATCACAGAACTGGTAAGTGTAGCTACCAGCCAATACTATAAAAACCATACCCGTAATTCCCATAATTCAAAGGTTTGAGATATGAAATGTATACTTCTTTAAAGTATAATCTAAAAATCAGAACGCATAGCACACTGAATGGTGTCAATTTTAGATCTAAGAACTATCTAGCTGGAGTCTGAATTCTTCTAGCTCTGCCAAACATCCCAACTGGGTTGTTCTACTAATCATAAACTCTTAAACACTTAATAACTTTTCATTCCAACTTATCTATTCACTCCTTGCTCTAGGATCCAAACGGACTTCAGTTACAACACCTATTTCATCCTGTGTGAAATCAGTCATTTCTTCACAAATCTACTGCTTCTGTATTTTCAAGTGCATTCAAAACATGTACAATGCTCAGCAAATATAAAAATTAGGCCGGGGATTTAGCTCAGTGGTTCCGCCGCCTGCCTCGCAAATGCAAGGACCCGAGTTCAATCCCTGGTAGCAAAAAAAAATAAACAAAAAAATATATATATATATACAAAAATTAAATTTACTGAACGTGTGCAATAATACACTATTCTTCGTGCTGTAAAATTACAAGAATCTTAGAATAAATTAAGTTTGTCCTCTGAGTGTTTATAACTGAGAAAGGGACAAACATGATAAATAAAGGTATGGTTATGTCACAAATCATAAAAAACTTCATGTAACGCAAAGAAGGGGTTCCTTCAAGCTAAGATAACCTAGAATGGCTTTTAAGACAAGATGAAATCTGAGAGAGGACATAAAGAATGAGTTGGGTTTCGGCAGGTAAGAGATAAAGAAGTATCCCATTTCAAGAGGAAGGAGTACCATCGGAATAAACACTGAGATGGAAAAGTAGAGTCCACATTCAAAAAATGCAAGTAATGTAGTCTGACTAGAAGCCAGATGAAGACAGCAATATAAAAAGGCTAGAGACGAGGTCCGAGCCAGTTTGAAGGTGTTAGGGAGCACAGGAAGCTACTACAAGGTGCACAAATAGGGGACTGACAAGAGTGCAAGTGACGCTGTAAGAAAATCCACATGACATCGTTGTGAATGACAGGCTAGAAAGAGGGCAATAATGAGTAGGCCAAAATGGAGATGGAGGGCAGTAGGAATGAAAAGCTGGGGACAGGTGAACATTAAGGAAATAAAAATGCGAGAATGCTGCAAAAGAGACAAAAGGCCTAAAGAGACGACAATCTCTAAAGGTTCTAGACTGGGTAACTGAGAGAGTAGTAGTGTTCGTAGAAAGAAGTCAGATGCAGCAGCAAGAGTGAAGACAGGAGAGACTGTAATTTTAGGGACTATGCCTGAAGGTGTGAGGGATGACTCACATGGTAATGTCAAGCAACTCAATCCAAAAGTACTACTAGCAACACAGAAGGCAAATGAGGCCTAGATATAAACATGGGAATAGTGGAAAGTAAGAATGTTAAGTATGAGGATCCAGAGAATAAGGAAAAGAGAAAGCTAAAGAAAAGCACAAGAGAATGGCTTAACTTAGGGGAAGAAACAGAGGAGCCTGCTGCAGAAAGACTTATAACCAAACCTAGTTAAAAAGGAAGAGAAGAGGTTGAGGGTGTAGCTCAGTGGTAGAGGACCTAGCATGCACACGGCCCTGGGTTCCATCCCCAGTAGCAAGGTAGGGGATCCCTACAATAACTGTGCTTACTTTGCTCACCACAGTATTATCCTCAGAGCCTGGGTCAGTCCATAGAAAAGACAGCCTTTATAAATATTGTCGAAGGAATACATGAAAAGATAAATCCCAAAACACCGGCTCAAACCCTGCAGATCTCTGTTATGCAGGGTTGGGAAATTTTCTCTCGTCATGTAGCTGAAATATCCTCTAAAAGTCTTTTCCATTATTCATTGGCTTAACAATTTCCTATTTTCAATGCAGCTCCTGTATAGCTATATCATATGAAAATCATGAAATACATATTAATTAGGTTTTATAAGTTTTCTCAATGAGCCCATTCCAGCTTCATAAGTCTGGTTTCCAAGGTACGTCTAAGAATTTTATTTTAGAAAGGTAATTCAGGGTATATTCTATATATATTATGAAAAATATCTCCTATGACCCTCCCAGGACTTAGACCTGGGATCAAATACTCTAATACTTCTGTAGCAAAATGAATGCATAGTCACACTTTGTAGAATAAAAATTATAAACTGCTTCATGTTGGGGCCGGGGATTTAGCTCAGTGGTTCTGCTGCCTGCCTCGCCAAGTGCAAGGTCCTGAGTTCAATCCCCAGTACCAAAAAAAAAAAAAAAAAAACTGCCTCATTTTAGTTAAAGACAGGTTTTGTAACAAATAGTTCATGTTAGGTCAGGATTTTTACCAAAAGGTTGTGGACTTGGGGCCAAAGATTTAGCTCAGTGGTTTGTTCCACTGCCTGCTTCACAAGCACAAGGTCCCAAGTTTGATCCCCAGTACCAAAAACAAAACAAAACAAAACGCTGTGGACTGGAAGCAACAGGTAGATAGTATAGTACATTAAAAGGCTCTTAGGGAATGCTGTCAAAAGTCAGACTCACAAGCCACTCTCCTTTTTCCTTGTTCCAGCCACTGACTAAAACCAGTATTTTCAAAAAGAGACAAGGGTGTCCACTATCACCACTCCTGTTCAATATGGTCCTGGAAACATCAGTTGAGCAATCAGGCAAGAAAAGGAAACAAAAGGGATTCGTATAGGAAAGGAAGATGTCAAACTCTCCTTATTCACAGATAACATGATCCTTTACATAGAAGACCCAAAAAACTCCACTAAAAGACTACTAGAAAAAACAAAGTCAGCAAAATAGCAGGATACAAAATCAATACACAAAAATCAATAGTGTTCCTGCGTATCAACAATGAACCCACCAAGAAAGAAAATAGGTAAACAATACCATTCTTCATAGCTTCAAAAAAAATTAAATACCTAGGAGCAGGAGGCCTCACAATCCCAGATTTCAAGTTATATTACAAAGCTACAGTGACAAAAACAGCATGGTGCTGCCACAAAAACAGACATGTGAGGCAATGAAACAGAACTGAAGATGCAAAAACAACACCAGGCACATTTAGCCATCTGATCTTCCACAATAGCTGCCAAAAACATAGGCTGCAGGAAAGATCACTTCTTTGCAAACAGTGCTGAGAAAACTGACCATCCATACGCAGAAGAATGAATCCAGACTCATTATCTCTCACCCTGTACCAAAATAAAATCAATAAAATCAATGGATCAAAGACTTAGATATTAAAACAGAAACACTTAATGTGCTGGAAGGTAGAACAGGGAAAACTTGGGCCGGGGATTTAGCTCAGTGGTTCCGGCGCCTGCCTTGAAAGCGCAAGGTCCAGAGTTCGATACCCGGTACCAAAAAAAAAAAGACACAGTATGCCCATGACAAGGACTTTCTAACAGAACCCCAACTACACAAGAAATAACACCAAGAATCAACTATGGAATTTTTTTTTGTTTGGTACTGGGGATCGAACTCGGGTCCTTGTGCTTGCGAGGCAGGCGGCAGAACCACTGGGCTAAAAATCCCCAGCCCAACTAAGGAATTTTATCAAATTTAAAAGCTTCTATAAAAAAAAAAAAAAAAAGCTTCTGCACAGAGTAGTGGAAACAACCAATACAGTTAAGAGACAACCTACACAATGTGAAAAAATCTTTGTCAACTATTCCCCAGACAGAGGACTAATATCTAAAGTATATAGAGAAATTTAAAAATTAGGCCCCTCAAAATAAAATACAATCAAAAAATGAGCGGATACTTGTCAAAAGAAGCAGCACATATGGCCAATAAGTACATGAAAAAACATTCAGCATCTTTGACCATTAGAGAAATGTGAGTCAAAACACCACCAAGATTCCAACACTAGAAAGAATGGCTAGCATCCGGAACTCAATAACCAAAACGTGCTAGCAAGGCTGTAAGGAAAAGGAACTCTTCTACATTGTTGGCAAAAATGTAAACTAGAATAACCACTATGGAGATTGCTCAAAAAGAAAATAAAAATAAAAATTCCATCCTAGCTCATTGTGGGTTTTCCTGAAAGTTACAGACATCGTATTACAGTGATGCATGCATACCCATGCTTATAGCAGCATAGCTCATAACAGCTAGATCTTGGCAGCCACCCTGTATGTTCATCAACAAATAAAGAAAACGTGGTGTACATATACAATGAAGTACTACTCTGCCATAAAGAAGGCTATGTTTGAATCATTTGTAGGGAAATGAATGCGCCTTGAAATCATAATGTTAGGTAAAATAAATCAGATACAGATGGTTAAATATTTCATGGTTTCTCCTACAGGAGAAATTCAAAGTACAAAGAGGATGATAGGAAAATGGGAGACAGACTACGTGGAGATCAGAAAGGGATCCAGGGATGGCAGAAGACAAGAGGAGCTGAAATGGAAGGGGAAGTTAAAAGAACCAAGATGTCTTCTGTGTATGCACCAATTCCCCAAGGTGAATGTATTTATTATATATTGCAAACATATACTAATAAAAAGGGGAAAATGCTTAAATCAGTATTTACCACTTTCTTACCTAGCGTATAGGCTGTAAAGTTGAGGATGCCCACAACAATCCAAACCCAGTCAGGCACATGCTTGTGACCTGGTGCTGTAAAGGAAAGCAACCAAGATTTGAGAGCAGTCTTTCTGCAATCATTCTTACCATACCACTTCCTGCCAATGAGGAATGTTTCTATTTGTTAGATTCAAGCACAGTATGCTGAATGCAGAATACTAAAATTTAACACTCAACTCTGCATTAACAATAAGTATTCCCATTGAGCTTGTATTGTAATTCAAGACTAAGTGTTCCCCTTTGCTTGAAAATTACTTAGCCCACAATGAAAAATAACATATTTTTTAAATTTATAAAAATGACTGCAGGCTGGAGATTTAGCTCAGTGATACCATCGCCTGACTCGCAAGTGCAAGGTCTTGAGTTCGATCTCTGGTACCAAAAAAAAAAAAAAAAAGACTGCATGCAATCTAATTCTTATTGTTTGTGATTATACTACAAACATATATTGTTACAGTTTAGAACTAAAATGGCCCCCAAAGTCTCACATTTGGAGGTGGAGCCTGGTCAGAAAAGTGGGGTCACTCAGAGTATGCGCTGGCGTGTGCCTTGGAAGGGTGTATTCTCATCCTGGTTCCTCCATTCTCTCTGCCTCCTGACCACCAAGACATGAGCAAATTTCTTCTCCCAGGCTCTTCCACCACACGGCTTCTGCCTTAGAACCAGCCAACCATGGACTGAATCCACTGGCACTGTATCCAAAATTGTGGCTGTCAGGTACTTTGTCTCAGCGACAGAAAAGCCACTGATATATACAGAGCCTTCATACAATACTTTCTCATTATAGATGGATTTCCTCAACTGTATAATTTCAGCATCACAGTCATCTAAAATGTCTGGATCTCACTTTTTTTCCCTATGATGAAACAACTGAGAACCCAGAACTCTATGTTCTAGGCCTGCCTCTGTAATCCATCAGTAGTGTAACTCTGAATATATCATTTAACCTCTCCTATCTTGCATTTTCCAAGCTTACTGGGACTTGCTGGTTTATTAGTCATTCAAGTTCTATGATTTGAAAAAATGTACATAATTTTATATATTCTTATTTCTCTGAATGAGGTAATAACTTTATTTAGTCAGATAGTATTTCTAATTACAAAGGTAAATATTTAAGCATTTCCTAAAGATTAAAATACAAAATTAAAAATCTAAACAATAAAAAGCCTCATAATACCAAAACCATGCTTACTAAAATTTAATCTTACTGATTATTCTTATGCTATTTAAGATTTCAGTGACCATTTTGCTATATTTTCAGATGTGTTAGTTGACAAAATTTGTTAGTTGACAAAATTCAGCATACACAGTTTCAATATTCAGAACTTCAATAACATCAAAAAATGCTAAGTGATTGAAACCCCAAATTTTCCTACAAAACAATACCACCAATGGCTGTTGATTCTTCTGGGTCAGTCCACAAAAGTCTGCTGAATCCATAACACAGACAAATTATAACACTAAAATTCCGGATTACATCATTTAGAAGTTTTGATTTTGTTTGTTCTCTTGAGACAAGGTCTCATGTGTAATCCAGGGCAGCCTTAAACTCACTATGTAGCCCAGGCTGGCCCCGAACTTTTAATTCCCAGGCTTCAGCCTCCGAAGTGCTGGGACGACAGGTGTGCACTACCACACTTGACTCATTTATTGGTATTCTGATCAGAAAACAAATTCTCCCGCTTGAAGGCAAAAATTACTCATTGGCCTCCACCTTTCTACTCCTTTCCACTCAATGAACTGGCTGAACAATAACAATAAACCCTGTCTCCCAGTATCCCCTCATCCTTCAAACACTCCAGACTCCTGTGGCCAGGAGAACAGCTGGGTGTGGCAGAGCGGACAGGAAAGGATGCTGCAGAAAGCGGGCTGGACACTGACCCCCAAAGTGCTTCCGGTCTTCTCTTCCCCAAAAGGGGTCGAGGCCAGCATGAAGAACATTTAGGGAGGAGGCGGGGAGGGGATGAAAAAAGAATTAAGATGTGTTATGCACATGGACCAACTTGCTCAAAGAATGTGATCACTATGTACTGCGAACGTGTACTAGTGAAAATGTTTAAAACATTTAGGTCTAAAAAGCACTGTCAGAGGAAACTCGGAGTCATTAGAGCAGAGTGGGGAATGAACAGAGGGCAGGACAGACCACATCCCCTTTAGAAGAAAGGAGATTTTCCTTCCATGACTAGAAAAGAGGAAGGGATGGATATTCCTGGATGATGGGTATGTTGGGCCCTGCTTGAATTCATTTTTAAATAGTTTTGCTATCCTAAATTTCTGCCTTCATGTAAATCTAATTATTATTTGCCAAAACTTCATTGGCTTTTAGATAGCACATCTAAATTCAACAGGCAAAATGGTCTTATATTTCTAGAACTTAATGGAAACATACATAACACAACAGTTTTTATATGCAATTATGACATCTCAAATAACTTTATAACACCCAAAGCTTTTCAGAAATACAAGCACCATAACAGAATAAGAAAATAACCAACTACACCTCATTTTTCTCTACTCAGATATTTTAAACTTTATATTAAGCTAATATTCTTACCTGAAGCATAAAAGTCAGGATCAAAGTATGCCATAAGTAGAAAATTGAATACAACCAGCAGAAAGCCAGAAAAGGTTATCAGATTCGGAGCCAGCCAAGTAGGGAATACCTATTTTTCAAAATAATTATAAAATAATTAAAGGAATCTTTGATAAACACCACACATAAAAATTTAAGTCATAATAAAAGCTATTAATGTGAAAGATCATATGCAGGAGTTCTACATATTAAAAATGTTAGCCATAATCTCCAGTAGATAGAAATAAGCATTTTGCTGGGCATGATGGCATACACCTGTAATCCCAGCACCCTGGAGACTGAGGCAGGGAGATCGCCACAAGTTCAAGGCCAGCCTGGGCTACACAGTGAGCTCAAGGTCAGCCTGAACTACTGGGAGAGAACCTGCCCCCTCCCAAAAAAGAAGTATTTCCTATAAGCCAAAATAGTTTATAATCATAAAATTAAAATTTTAGAAAATGTTAAAAGGCATTTTAGAGAAATGAGCTTACATTATATAAATTTAGATTTCAACAATGAGGTAATGCGAAAGGTATGTGACTAAGGGAAGGGAAAATAGAACGTGTGGTGTGTCAAGCCAGGCAAAGTGGTCCACACCTATAATCTCAGCTCTAGGGAGGCTGACGCAGAAGGACTGGAGGTCAGCCTGAGCTACACTGCGGGACCCTGTCTCAGAAGAGAGAAAGTGTAGTGTATGTCTGAGTATCTTACTAAACTGAAAGCTGCATCCCTAACACCATAAAATAGGTTAAAATACTTAAAACTGAACTAAACAAAAAGTACATGCCTATTAATCATCTCACCTTCACTACAGTGTTCCAAAATGGATGCATGACGTACAGAGAGAGTGGGTTGCTGTCCACAGCACTGTACTGTTAAGAAATGAAATACGTGGAGTTAGTCCTTGCATGCTAGCAAATAGGTCCATATTTTTCAAAGGAAAACAACAGTACACAAATAACCTGCAAAATACACCTATTTATATGAATAAATACACCTCATCTGAATAACCAAACTAGAAGAGCAATATAAAGAGGGCATAGAAAGTGTAAATAAGGATTAAAATGATTAAAACGAATAATCAATAATTTGAAATAGGAAAAGGTCCAAAGGGTAGGGGTGGTGGGAGGGGAAGGGGAAAGGGAAGAAAGGAAAGGAAAAATTGTGAGAAAAGAAAACAATGGAAACGAAATCTATGTAAATAAGGAAGGGTGCAGGGGTGAAGGGCGCACAGGGAATGGGGAAAAAATAAGAACCAAGATACATCATGTACAGGGACAAGCACCCAATGATACATGTAAACGTACTGTATACCGTAAATGTGCCAATAAAAGAATTAAAAAAAAAAAAAAAAGAGGGCGAATCAGGTACGACTCTCACGGCAAGAAGGAAGGGGTGGTCAGGCAAGGTGGTGCACAACTCTAATCCCGGCACTCTGTGAGGCTGAGGCAAGACGACTGCAAATTCAAGCCTAGCCTGGGCAACTTAGTGAGAACCCGTCTCAAAATTTTTAAAAATGGAAAAAGTGCTGGGTATGTAGCTCAGTGTGAAGGCTCTGGGTTCAATCCCCAGTACCAAAAAAAAGAAAAGAAAGGGTCAGTCACAGGGGAAATCTACAGATCAACCCCAAATCAGAGTTAATCATACTGTGGTTGTTTCAGTCACATATACTCCTCCACAGTGCAAACTGCCAAGATGATCAATGCCTCACCCTTCCCTCTCAGTCAACTTTTATAATACCATAGTGTTTCAGTTAAAAAGATTACATTGCTTACATATTCTCAGTTATTACGCAGATCAGTAAAACACACGCCGTGTACAGTCAAACACTGACCACACACCTCAGCTCCCCTCCCCCCTCTCACCTACAGGACTGTAGTCTCCCCCGTGGTACCATTACTGGTATACTGCCTGTCTATGCTGCCTTGGGCAAGTTACCTCTTTCTTAGTTTACTCACCTGCAAAGTGAGTATGATCGCCCTTACCTCAAAGGACTGTCACAGGATTAGGTAAGTTAATAACACATGTAGGGCTGGGGATTTAGCGCAGTGGTTTCCCTGCCTGCTGTGCAAGAGAAAGGACCTGAGTTCGATCCCTGGTACCAAAAAATAAAAATAAAAAAATAAACTAAATAACATATGTGAAGCCCTTACAACACAACCTGGCTTTTATAAAAATAATACAGCTAATATTATTATACGTGTGTTGAGCACCAAAGGAATACAGATCCACTTACAGTAAGAAAGCAGATTCCGTAAGTCAGCAAAGGAGCCAAAAACAGGTTACCGTTGTATGGTAACAGATGGAGCCTATGCTCTAATTACTGAGCTATTTGGTAAAATTCAAGGGCATTTTAACAGATATATGTATGTATGTAAACCCTAAGAGTTGTGACTCCTTCATCTCTTCCCTTACTCTCTCCCCCACCTCTCTCTCTCTCTCATCCTCTCTCCCCTGGCACGCAGAAAGCACTTCGCTAGGTGTGGGGAAGGATATAAAATGTAAGAGGGAGTCTCATTTGTCAAGGAGTTCACGGTATTATTTAGGTTAAATTACCCAATGCAACCATTTGACATTTAAATTACATTAGTCTAGGGGCCGGGGATTTAGCTCAGTGGCACCAAAACCTGCCTTGTAAGGGCAGGGTCCTAAGTTCAACCTCTGGTACAAAAAAAAAAAGTTATAAATTATATTAGTCTAGTCAAATGTTTGAAAAGTTTGGGTTATATTTCATACTTAAACTACATATATGTAAACATTTGATAGCTAACATATGTTAAATTATAATTTAAAGGTCAAATTTCTTCCTGAATATGGAGGAACTATTTTCAGTATTTCAAGACTTAAAAGTATGACGGAACAAAAAAGTAAATAAATAGAAAATAATTACAGTACTGTTAGCAAAGAACTAAATGTTTATTCAGCAGACTCCATGCCTGAAGTTCCTCCATTTCCCCAACCCCTCCTGACTATAATGGTATAACCGGGACAAAGATCCAGGGCAGGTAGCAAGAAGATGATGGAGAACGTGGTTTGCTTTTCCTGGCCAGGCTCAGAGGCTGTAAAGCTGCATCCAGACTCTCAGCAGGAGCCTCTTTACCTTAGTCTCACTGATCCCCTGTACTTTCACTCTTACTAGGCTGTCCACTGTCACTCTGCAGTTGACAGAACTTTCCCACACTGTAAACACTGTTGCAGCAGAAGGTGTCCCAACCTGACAGGATCAGCTGACATTAAGCTTGCAGACCTGAGGAGCTGGTGACCATATGAACCCTATGGCTGCAGTGGATAAGGGGGAGACAGCCCTTCACCAACGTCTGCACCCCAAACCTTGTGAAACAGCCAGCAGGCAGATAAACTAGGAAATCACCCACTCAAGTCCACCATCCTCTGCAAAGTACTAAAGGTGTAATATGTGCAGGCCAGAAGAAAAAGGTTTAAGATATCACATAAACACTTAATACAGTACACAAAGTATAATGTTCTTAATTCAAATGTTTACTGAATGAGACTCAGCAGCTTTTCATAATTTTAATTTAGATCTCAAACAAAGTCCTTAGGGGATGGTATTTTGATATGAAAAGCTTTCTAAATTTTGAAGCTTTAAATCTCTACTTCAGGAGACCAATATAAAAGTCAGATAAGAATAAAGAACTAAACACACGAAGGCCAGTTTATCTACCTGGATTTCAGTTATTTGACATTCAATAGCAGCTGATGAGCTCAAACACAACAAGAAAAGACTAATATGAGATTGTAAATCACAGCAAACAATAAACCCAAACAACACACAGTGCTCTCACCTTACGTACCTGAGTATTTCTTAAGATCATGTGTCACTCGATACACATGAAGAAGCTCTAAACGAGCTTGTGAATCAACAGGAAGAAAAATAACTTAAACCTTCCACACATACAAGGAAAAAAATTCAAAATATAAACTTCTAAAAGTACTAAGCTAGATATAGGGTACTTGTTGATGCCTGTTAAATGTCCTTTATTCTGCTTTAGGGTGCTATTTTAACATACACCAGAAAACCTGAACCCGGTAACTAATCCAGTTAACACCTAGTGTGACTTGCTTGGCTCAGTAATCTACAAAGCCATGGAAAAACGCTCAAGGACCTCAGCCTGAGCTTAAGCATTCCAAGGCAAAAATCTCAGGGCACAAGAGTCTACTCTCACATTACCTTCACGTCTGATCTTCATCTAGGCAAACAGGTGCTATAGTCAGTTGGCCTAAACCGCCCCGGTGAACAAAAATAAAACAAAGCTCATTTCCTCCAAAAGCAACCCAATCCAGTGTTAAAACAATTTCGCTACACACTGACAAGCTTCCCCCACCCTGTATCTCCTATCTTGTGTTTTCATTTTGCTCAGCAAATTAAGCAGGCAAGAGTCCAATTTTTCTTCAAAATAACAGTTCAAATATTTGGAGACAGCTCTCCCTGTCACACCCAAATCTTCCCTTTATCCATTCCCATGTCCCTTTTGCTGCTCCTCTTGCCATGATTTCAATTTCCCTCATCGTCTAGGTCTAGTTTCAAGGGACTGGAGAGCTTTTTCTGTAAAAGGCCAAATATTTCAGGCTTTGGAGGTAGAACGGTAACAAATATGCTATACTGCCACTGAAAGAGGAACAAATTTGAAGAAAATATGTAAACTTATAAGTAAGCACAGCCTTGTTCTAATAAAACTTTATTCATAAAAGCAGGTAGCTTGGGGCTTCTAGTTTGATAATCCCTGCTACCAAAATCCAATTTGTTATTAGTCCAACAGAAAGGTTGATCCAGAGCAAAAGGAAGGTTTCAAGTGGTTAGAAATGAAGAACATGGCTATAACCCTCTCCTTCAATGCTGCATGCTGCTCAAGATATTATTAATTTCTTGTCATAACAAAATCACACTGCAGTCTCACACAGATTTATAGTCACCTGGATCCCCTGGGCCTCTCCCATAGGGACTGAGTCTCAGGTAATGCCCTCTATCCAAAATCAGCAGCAGACTTTGCTCTGCTTTGTCTTCTGATCAATATAAGGAGAACAGGACTCTTACTATCAAATGATTTTTTAATACAGGGCCTGTGCTTACCTATCTGAACCGTGAACTTTCTATCTATAAAACATACTTACTTAACTATGGAAGTTCATAATGTCACTTGAGTACAAATAATAGTTCATAAGCTGCACATACTGACATCACTTCAGATGTGAGCAAATAACATTTCTGGTTTTTAAAAATCATTTCCAAATTCCTTAAGTTCAAAATCATCCCTGGAAAAAAACAAAAAACAAAAAAAACAAAAATCATCCCTAGGAGTTTTGTTTTGAAAAGAGCACATCACTGGATGAAGTATATTTATTATTCATATCAACTCCCCAGATATAATGAAATAAGCACTCATTATCAACCTATCTTCAGAAATCAAGAGAGGCTGGGATGTAGCTCAGTGGGACAGCTCTTGCCTAACACACACAAGGCTCTGAATTCTATCCTCAGCCCTACAAAAAAACAAAACAAAACCCAAAAACCACTTCAGAAGAGAAAGAGAAAATGCCAACTCTCCATGGAAGCCCCGGCACAGGGTTGGTGCAGTTTGCTGCTAAGGCTCAAGACTCAACCATGTTTAAATATAAGTCTTTAAGGGGACAGAAGCCCCTGTGTGGCTTGTGGTCTGTTCCACCCTTCCAGGAACAGAGCTTTGTTCCTCTTTCTTTCTTTTGGAAGGGAGGGCGGTCCTTTCCTTGGTACTGAGCTACTTCCCCAGCTCTTTATTTTTATTTTGAGAAAGGGTCTCACTGAACTGCTAGGCTGCCTGAGTTGGGCTGGAACTTGTAACCTTCTATCAGAGTATTGTAGCATTGACACTCTAAC